TTCTTGATAATCGAATGTAAAGAGTTTTATCTCTAAAAACTGTTTAGCGTATAACGCTAGTAATGGGGGCATATAATAAGTAAAAAGAAATCACTAGTTTATACCACTAACAAGGCTCAAAATAGCCCCAAACGAACACAGTCACATAATGAGGGTCCCTACGAGCCAATTTACAATTCCTGTTCATCAATAAGGTGAGAACCAGACCAGTTATAAACCTAAATATACTCAAATGAAATGGAAAGTGTAGTACATTACAGAAATTAATAACAGCTGTAATTATATATATTATAAGTACAATGTAAAAGCATGTATGTACACATCAATAACAGATTGGTTAAAGTTATGTTTGTTTTGTTGTATGATTTTAATGTTATTATTTTTGTAAAGCACTTTGGGGCAACGTCTGTTGTTTGAAAAAGTTGCTAGCTTGATGCCTTACACAATAATAAATGCATTGTATCAAATGATTAATTTAAATGTTAGTACATAGTAGACAGAGACACTTAATATTAAGTGGGACCAATTTTACATCTGATTGGGACCTGATTTATAATTACAAAATATATATAAAAAATAAAAACAAACTATTTAATATCAATAACAAAAACTCCAAACCCTAGCAAAATAAAACATACCTATAAATGGAAAAACTACATAGCTGCTGCTGTAGGAAATCCTTTTTAGTTGCAGTTTAACAGTTGCACAAAAATCAGCAAAAACTTATTTTTAAGTCCACCTTGAGGGTTATCTGCTTTAGAGATCATTCACATTGTCCACCAAAATATATGCATGCGCTAAACATACTGTCACAGTCATCATCTGCACCATTCTGTCTTCGTCATCTTCACTACACTTCCCAGCATCCTCTTGTCTCCACACCTGAACTCACTCCCTCAATTATCCACCTGTCCCTCATCATCATCATCTGTCACCTGTCTTCACCTCGTTAGTGTTCATTTGTCTCTGTATTTAGTTTGCTTCTGTTCATTCTGTCTTGGTCGGTCGTCGTCAATGTATAGTTGTAGTAGTGTGAGTTTTGTTATCCTGCCTGTACCTGTTTTTAGTTTGTTATCAGTAAATGTTTAAATTGGAGCCTTCTTGCCTCAGACTCTTCTTCAACCCGCACCACAACCCTGACAGAACGACCGACCAAACAAAAGATGGACTCGGCGGGCCATACCCTAACAGACTACCTCATCAGGATCCTGTTTGAGAGAGGTCTCCGCATCACCATCACCCCAGTGATGCCTCCAACCATCTTCGCCACGCCGTCCATTTTCACCCCGGATCCAGCAGAGCCCGTTGATCCTGCGCCAGAGCCCGTTGATCCTGCGCCAGAGCCCGCTGATCCTGCGCCAGAGCCCGCTGATCCTGCGCCAGAGCCCGCTGATCCTGCGCCAGAGCCCGCTGATCCTGCGCCAGAG